AAAAAAAAAAAAAAACAGCCTAATTGTTTCAAGGTTTACCATGTGGATAGGAGCTGGGTTCATGAACAAACAAGGTCTAACATCACAGTTTGTTTTCATATATCCTCAATACATAAGCTATGATACCAGGTACCTGTAACAGTATCAAATATCATGTCAGATACTTCAATTTTTAGTGTAAACTTCATATCCGATAAGGTATCCAGCACTGTCCTTGCCATATCAGAGTAACATGATACACAAGACACATGCATTTGTGCACGTTGACTTTTAGAATCTCCCACATGTTGGGGACACAAAACTGTGATGTTAGCAGCCTTGCTTGGTAGCAGGCAGCAGATCCGGGTATGATAGTGGGTACCAAAAAAATAGTACCCCATTCAAGTAGGGGAAATTAAGTAATTAACTAGTTGATTTTTCATGGGCTCTTTCCTAAACTAGTGGTTACATGAGAAAGCACAGATGCATTTGCACCAATCCTTTATCCATCTCAGAAATTTTATAAATTGGCAATAAGTTTCACTCCAGAACAGAAATGATAGGAAAATGCAAAAAAGAGGGAAAATAATTTTTGCCTGGATAGAAAAAATTTCCAAGTATCTATCTGTCTAATAAATCCATAAAAGAAACAAAGTATAATGAGTTCAATAGCCAAATAAGAAATTAATGTTGCATGGAAACAACACAACAGATGGATGGCAGAAAACAGAAAACACCCAGTTCCATAATATCTTCCACAGAAGAATCACAAGATAGGAAACTAATACTCAATCCAGAGCTGAGAGCTCCATATTGCCAAATTCCAGAATTAGCACCACCAAATGGAAAAGAAATGCTTACATGTGTGGCATGGAATTGCAACCGGAAAACCACCTTTATTTTTGTCTTCTCGAGCTTCCACTTGGCAATCCTTGACATTATTGAGCAACTAACCAATCACCAACAGAAAACCATCAGTATTCCAACTTCACTTCCCTGCCCCATTCAATCAAAGTTAAAGCACAAAAGTTCACATTATATCTCCAATATTTAATATAAAACAGCTCCAAGAAAAGCCAACTAAAAAATAAAGAGAGAGAGAACATTAAGATGACAGATTCCAACACCAGGAGAGAGGATGTGCATGTTCCACACTTCCACTACTTAATACAGAAACCCCATTTAAAAAGGAATGGCATGACTTCTAAAATTTCTACAAGACCATTTTTAAAGATCAGTATATGATCTTAAAAAATAAAATTATTAGCAATTGGGACAAAGTAACATGATGGCTTAGAAATGGAACAAAACCAATTGAGTCAAAAGCGACCACAGTTAAATCATGACATTGGTAGCTGTTAGGAAGGTTTTGGAGCAAAAGCAATATCCAAAGGCAGGAATGCAGAAGAATTTTATATAGTAACAGTACAACCACTTGGATGGACACTTTCCTGGTACAGACACTGTACCTCAAATGCTATTTGATGCCAGTTCAGGAGAGTTCCCATATAAAGGAAAAACATCAAAAGAAAGAAATAAAAACTAATATGAACTTCTCCTTCCGAGCAAATCGGTAAAATAGTTATGCTAGATGTTGGACAGGAAGAAGCATAAAGAAAGAACAATGTACTCCCAAATAATTTTGCATTTAAAATTAAATCACAGGTTTATGATCCACAAATATGTAAAGAAGATATCAAATGTAAAATAAATAAAAAAAAAAATGAAAACGAAAAACCTAACAGAGAGAAAGAGAGAGTGATGAAAAGGACAGTCTAAAAACCCCTCGAAGCTAGGCAAAATCTAGGACCGCAGAGTCTCGGAGAAAGATTTGCATCAAAATTCCAAAGTTATATCAGGAAATCGACTGCTTAAACAATAAAACCAGCACTACTATTTATCAAAACCTCAGATCTAGATTTCACGCCGGGAAGTGCCAAACCAAGCAAAATGCAAATGAAAAAGATGCCAACTCGAATTAGGTCTTCCAAAGTGCAACAGAACGTAATCGGAAATCATAGGTCAAGCTAAATCCAGCATGCAGCTTCTTGAGCAGTATAGAACAGTGGAAACTGAAACCATTTATGTGCCAAAACCTCGAAATTTCAAAATGCAAGTATAAATGTAACTTCAGCAAACAAAATCAGATAAATTATTGGCTCCATAACCAATCAGTAAAAAAAAAACAAATGAACTCCACAGTCGAACTACATGCAGCAAACAACTTTCTACCAACACCATTCCCGTCATAAAAGTAGAAATCTCAAATTTCCTACATAAACTTACCTAGAGGTGAGAAAATCCTACAAAACTCTCCGAAGATCTCTCTGATTCAAGCCCTAAAACCAAACCAAAGTAACTTTCGAGACTGGAATATGGCGAAAAGAGAATCCAAAGGAAAAATGCCACCCTTAATCTGGCAAACACAGTCCAGTAAAGTAGTAAACAAAGCAAAAGTAGTATATTGCTCCAGAAAAAAAAGGTCAAAATTCCCAAATGTAACCAGATTCCACCTCGGAAACTTCCAAATGCAGAATGTCGTACAGAGAAATCAGTAAATTTACCAGTTCGAACCGTAAATTCGAACCAAAACTGATTTCAAACCCAAAAAAGAAGTCCAAAAAACGAAAGCGAAAACAAACAAACAAAGTAATAAATAAACATTTAAGAGAAGACGACGTAGAGCTATCTTACACCTAATTTCGCATCTGCAGGTGCTTAAACTGCAAGAAAAAATCAAAGCACCTGTCAAAGGAAGCTTCGGCGCTGTCGAAATGACAGATCAAAAGTGCTCATTGCTGCATCTTGGAGCTCTTCTTCTTCGAGCAAACAATCAAGAGATCAATGGTTATCGCCATTGAAGAATTGACGGAAGAGTGCTATCGAAGATGAACTATCACTATACCAGATTACCAGTCCTCAAAAGAATAATTAAAAAGAAATAAAAAGCTACATCCCGCCAAAGCCTGTAATTGTCTCGTTAATAAAATCGGACCACAAGGAAGATTAGAAAAATACTTAATTCGTAAAGAAACTAAATGACTGAAGTACCCCCTCCTTTTACCATGACCATGACTCCATGAGTCGGGTCGAGTCGGGTCGGTAAAAGTATAACTTCACTGCGAGTTAGCGAGTATACCCTCCGTATGCAGTGTAGAAATATGAATGGACCAAATTGTCCTCACCCATGAAGCAAACTCGTTTTGAAATTAAGGTTCCATTTGGTGCGTTTTTTGCATGGATTGTGGACTTTTTAGAAATTCAGTCGTTTGTGTTTTGATGTTTGCTCGTTTGATTGGAAAAAGATTTAATCACCAAAAGTTGTAATTCCAAAAAAATGCAAAAAACCTATTTTAGGTTATTTTTGAGAAATTCCAAATTGAATTTTTTGTCTATTTCTTCAATTCATATTCATGTGGAAACACATATAAATAAATGCATTTTAATCAAATTATCTTCAAACTACTAAGATCTTGATCTAAAAACTCTTTTCATCTTTTGACTATCAAATTTTAGAGAAGATCTTTCAAAAAAAGGACTTATCAAACAGTTCCTAAATTAACGCTATTCGATAAAATTATTAAAACACCCTTTATGATCATTCAAAAATACATTACTACCCGTGTAGAGGGTGTTACGAAACACAAGACAGGTCGATGGACGAGCTGCAGCTCCAGTTGAAATGGATTTATTTACTTTTTGTTTTCTTCTGATCTCTTACAGAGACAGCATGATTCGTACTTTGTGTTTCTCGTGGAAGGTTTGTTTGTGAAGAAGCAAAATATAAGAGACTGAGAGTTCTCAGATCGGATGGCTGAGATTTTTGACTGTTGGGATTTAAAATCGACACGTTTGAGCTTTGTCATCTTATCTCCCTACTTACTTTTTGGAATGTCGTTTCTGGTCCAATCCAACAACATAATTATATTTTTGCGTGGCAAAAAAGAGAACACTTTTGTCACCTTTTTCGTTTGATTTTGCTGGGAATTGCGGTAATTGTAGTTACAGTTGCAACGGTTTCAGAAGAAGTGGGGAGGGTAAAAGAATAGTGATATAATTTTTTGTTTTTATATGGAAAAATATGCGATATGGTAGGAGGAGGAACATTTTGCTAAGAGAAATAGAGTTGCCACTTGTTGCTTAATACTCAATAGAGTTGATTGAATCGGATTTGGTCCAATATGATCCGGTTCAATATGAATTCATTACAGAGGGACTAGGTTCAATCCATTCCAATGAATATTTTGGATTGGTCTAATTCAATGTCTGGACCATCCAACCTGTTCAAATTAGTTTTAATTTAGATTGGTTCCAACCTGAACCTGGTCTATTTAACATTTGTATTCTTATCTTCTATCAATGGACCAGATATTGGTTCAATATGACCCACTTCAATAAAAATTCATAACGGATGGATTAGGTCTAATCCAATCTAATAAATATTTGGACCATTAGGTCTATACTGGTTATGTCTTATTGGTCCATCCAATCCATCCAAATTGATTTTGATTCGGATGGTTTCCAACCCAAAACCAGTCCATTAACACCCCTACTTCCAACAACAGTGGAGAAAATATAGGTGACAAGAGAAGGGGTCCCTTCAATATTACCAACTAATTTCAATGGTAGATGCTCCTCAAGGGAACTACCATGAAATGATTGAGAAAAAAATATGTAAATATATCCTCCCATCTCTCTCAACCTTTATCACCACTTTTTATCCAATTTTAAATTGGGTATGGAAAAGTTGTTTCTAATCCTTTAATGGCCCAAAGATAACATTGTCCCAACATTTAGGATAATGAATTATCAGAAATATAAAAAAGGCATAATACCAAACAAGCTTTGACCAATCAACCCTTCCTACAAAAAGTTGGATAGAATCAGGTTAAGTTGGGCTTGATTATGGGCTATCGATGCATCAATCCAAGCCCAACCCAAGTTAAGATCAAGTACGAACATTTTTTAAGGCTGACCTTGATCTCAACAAATATATGCCCATGGTTCAAAGTATCGATACGATATTGTATCTTTTGAAAATGATATAGTCTAAGACGCCTGTTTCCAGGGGTTTTGGACCCCCAAATTTTTTAATAATAAAAAGCATGCTAAAAACTTTCCAAAAAACCAAAATTTGAAAAAAAAAAAGTAAAAAAATAGAGTTTCAACCATTTCTAAATGCCGATACGATACGGCCAAAACTCATATTATTGATACTTTGAACCTTGCATATGCCCAAACCATGCAAAACCTCTTATTGGTAGCGTAGGTCGGGCTGGTTTGGATTGAGTCCACCCACGTTGAAATATTGTTCAATCTTAATTGCACTTGTAATCCTAGCTTGTCCTACTAGTTCCCTAGTGAGAATATAGAGCTGATAGAGCAAAATATTCAGAATAATTTTGTATGGATGTTTTACAGAAGTTTTCACCTTTGATAGCTGAATTTGATAGCGCCATAGTGGTTTCACTGGTTACGGAACCAATCATTTTGGAGTCCAGATCTCCTGCCCACGTCTACCCACAACACATTACCCTCCGTGAATTGGGAACATCTCCCCCTACATAATACTATGCAGAAGATAAGATGTTCTCCATGTGTGGCTGTGATATTATGGGCAGGAGACCAGGACTCATCATTTTACTCTACACAAAGCAGACAAACAGATTGCTGCCACAGCTAGTAAAACAACTATCAGATTTAGCTAATCCTTTCTCTTCTCAACCCACACAATTTTATGCCCCAACTCCTAAATCCTCGAGCTTCCAATTACATCTCTTAAATTGAATGCTCATCCAATTGAAACTTTCCTACCAGTTTTAACATAAACCACAATAAGTTGAGATGGGATGGGCTCCCAACAAAGCGTGCCCGCAGCCATCCCTTTGAGATCAAATCAGCCTCCCACAATGTCTCACAGCACATCCTTGTTTTGTGTTAGGAATATCTCCTGATGATAATACTAGAAATGATGATAACATCATCGGGAGATGTTCCAAATACATGGCAGGAATGTTCTATGGGACATTGTGTCGGGTTGATTTGAACTCATCCCTTTTGTGAATTGGGAACAACTCACGGTGACCATGACAAGCATGAAAAATGTTCCTAATGCTTGGAGAGGATAGGCTGTGGGGCACTAGTGGGGTGCACTCTGTGGAAAGATAGGAATGACAACGGGGCAGGTGTCATTGATGGACACAGGTTCTCCACGGGGACTTGAATCCCTGAAAATTTTGAATTAACAATATTTTTTGAAAATATTTTTACTTTAAAATAAAGCAAAATTTTAAAATATAAATAATATTTTAAATATATTTTGATATATATAATATATATTTATGGTCAGGGTGAGGCCAAGTACCTGGCGAGGATGGGGATGGGGAGTCCATTTGAACTCCAATAAGATTGCTTTCCTCAAGCTTAAATAACACCCATTAACATATGGTTTTGAAAACTGTACCGAATGGTTGAACCGGTGACCCAAGACTAGGTAGGTAACCAGTTTTATTTTACCCTAAAACCGCTTTTTGGCCAAAGACTGTTGATTTGGTTGATAGTGTGGGTGGTCAAACCATCAACATGTCGACCTAAACAACAGTTTTCGGCCTTTTTACTTTGTTTATTTTATTTTAATTCTTTATTTTTTAAGTTAGAATAGGACATCTATTCGAACCAAACGGTCAAACCATTCAACCCAGGAACTGATTCCCATAACGGTTCTGTGTCCGACCCGGTTTTTAAAAACCTTGCATTTAATATGTGATAGAGCAATATGCCACTAGTGGGTCAGGAACAAATACTCTCTAGCAAAGTTGGGTCAAAGGTAGGGGTGCTACCCGAACCGTGGGCCTCTTTTTTGGACCGAATCAAAACCAGTCGGTTAATCGACGGTTCGGTTTTTCGGTTTTTTGACTTTTTAATATTTATTATAAATATATAATAAAAAATTATAAATATGTATTTATATATAATGCGTATTTATTAATTTATAATATATATAATATACATAAATATATAAAAAATATATACAAAAACATGTATAACGATCGATTCGATTAACCACCAATTTTTTAAATTAGTTAACCAAAACTGAACCAGTACCTTCATTTTTTTTAAATCACCAAACCAAAACTGAATCAACTGGTTCGATTTCAATCGATTTTTTTGATCGGTTCAATTTTTCAGTTTTTTTTTTTTTTCTCACCCGTAATCAAAGGTGTACTCAACCAACAATCAACGAGGCATACCTGCCCCCACCCAACCCAGTAACACTCATGATGAAGCTCGGCAAGTACTAGTATGGGAAAATTTATGGCAGGAGAATGAACTGTAACCACACATCCCCTTATGACCCTTTGTATGTGTTTTCCATTATGATATTGGGCCCCATCCGGTCCTACTTGAGCTTGTGGCCGAGGTTTTTCACTTATCCTACAAAACATACTATACTATGACAAAACATGAAGCTTTACATCTAACATTAGTCGCATCCCATGCACCAATAAGAAATGATCCAAACTGTCTTGTTGATGATTCTTTCAATATTCTCTTTGCAATTGAGTAGCATCAATAAAGTTTTTATTTATTTTTGATAAAAGAAAGATTTCATTAAAGAGCCAAAA